CCACTCACTGTTGTTCAGTTCTTTAACACTCACTGAGGGCAAGTCACAGGTAAGGTACTGTGAGGTACAGCATTGAGTGGTGGTGAGGGGGGTGCGGCACACAACTGTAGAGGTAGCATTCAAGCTTTTGAGTGCTGATTGTCAGTTGGAAACGCTGCGTTCATTAAATGACCACATTGAGAGCATAATATGGAATGGAAATATATTTCAGAGAAAGTCTGAGGGATGCTCCCCGGAAGGAGGATTTATTTTGTAGCTCGGGTTCGAGTTCTTTGGAAGCGGGCATTCAGCTGTGAAGAACAAGGAACCATGGTGCTGAGTCATTTGTGGGACAATAGGCCAAATAAGTGCCACCATGGATCTTGACTGGAAGCAGAGAAGGCCAGAAGGTGGGCTGCCTGCGTCTCGTCCACTGTGCAATGGCGCTCCACCGTTTGGTCATGATAAGTTATGGGGAGCATGTCCAGTGATGGCAGTTGCAGCACGCTTCACTGTGCTCATGCAGAGAGCCTGAACACAGACCCAAGGACAAGTCATGGGACACGAGAGGAGGGTCTCAATGGCCTAGATAGTAAAGCAGGAACGCTGTGTACCCGTGCTGTAGCCCCTCACCGCACTGTTCCAGTCTGTTTGCTGGGCACCTGAGAAGCTGGACCATCTGCCGACAATTGGAGGGAGGCTCCCTGACAACCTGCTCTGTGCAGATTGGTGCTACAGCTTTACCTGCCGCCAGGGAGTGCGGGGTCTTGTTGTGCTCCTGGAGTGCGGGGTGGGCGTGTGGGCATGGGGAGGGCACAGGGTGGTGAGAAAGGGACAGCTGCTGTGCTGGCTCACCAGAGCTGAAGGCAGATCAAAAGTGATACTATTATCATGTTAAAGTCCTTAGTGCTTATTAGTATCTATTCTGTACCGTCCATAGAGAGGAAAAATATCGATTATATTTTACGTTTCAAAGCCATTGTTTTGTAAATCAACTGAAAACTGGATTGAGGTGTCGTGTGCCAAAGTTTAACACACACCACCACCACCACCTCCACCACCATTATTATCATCACTGTCACCAAGAAGGCAGTCCTGTGGACCTGATGATCTCGCTGTTGCTACAGACCCGTTTCCCTTAAAAAAAAATCATTTTATTGGGGGCTCTTACAACTCTTATCACAATCCATACATCCATCCATTGTGTCAAGCACATTTGTACATATGTTGCCATGATCATTCTCAAAACATTTGCTTTCTACTTGAGCCCTTGGTATCAGTGCCTCATTTTCCCCTCCCTCCCTGCTTCTTCCTCCCCATGAATCCTTGATAATTTATAAATTATTATTTTGTCATATCTTATACCATCCGAGGTCTCTCCCTTCACCCACTTCTCCACTGTCTGTCCCCCAGGGAGGAGGTCATATGTAGATCCTTGTCATCTGTTCCCCCTTTCTCCTCACTTTCCCTCCACCCTCCTGCTGTTTTCCCTCTTGAGATTTTGCCTGTACAATGGCTCATTCGTGTTTTAAGTGCTGCAGATAGAAACATGGGCTTTCGTCATTTCTTGGCCACTATAAGTACAGTTGCGATGGTTCTGCCCATCAAGAATTTCTCTAGAATGGGACGGTTAATGTCATGACCGTGCGTGTATTTGTGTGTGTGTGTTCCCCCCACCATTTAACAAGATCCTATTTTAAACGTGAAAGGTTTCTTTAAAGGTGACTTTTTTAAAGTGAAGTGAAAAGATTGGCCACCATCACCTCTGTCTAATTCCCAACCATGTGGAACACAGCTCCACCCTGTCCTTCAGGGTCACTGTGACTCCACATCGACTGGCTGCTGCCAGGGAGTCTGAGTCTGAGTCTGACCTTGTCAGAAACGTAGTGCGTGAGGGTACGTGGAGAGTGTTGTTACAGAGTTATTCCGCACAAAACCTCTTTAAACCTGCCCCTGTTTTCAGTGGATGGCTGCAGACCGTTCTTTCAGGAATACCCTCGTCTTAGTCTAGTTAGGGTCACCTGAAAAGACAACAACACAAAAACCTTCAGTCACAACAGTGGGTCCCCGGAGGTTTGAGGACCAGTTTAATTCAAGGCTCAGAAGGTTTTGGTGAGGGTTTGTCTCTATACATTTCCTTGCAGGGCAGCATGGTCACCAGGGCTTATTAGGAGGATGTTTTAAGGAATTGAACACTGCATTATGCTCACGAATTTTGGGCCTTCGAGACAATGCACCTGGTCATTCTTTGAGAGTAACGTGGCTGTCCTCCAAGAATGCCCTTGGGAAGCCTCACCCTGCCCACCTGAGAGCCCTGATCATGCCCCTTCTCGTTCCCTCTGTTCCCTAAACGCAAAAGAAGGTTTCATCTCAAGAGAAGAGGATTGG